TCTTGAGGCTTCTCTCCTGCCTCACTGTGGTTGATATATTGTGCACACCAATAAACTTATCTGGGGGTCACAGAACAGAACAGCCACTATGTTAAACATAGAGGTTTAGGCAGTGGTACCACTTGCCTTTAATCCCAGCCTTCCAGAGGCAGAGATCTGTCTGGATCTCTGTGAGTTCAAAGCCACTCTGGAAACAGCCAGGCATGGTGACACATGCCTTTAATCCCAGGAAGTGATGGCAGGAAGCAGAAAAATATAAAAGTTGTGAAAACCAGGAACTAGAGCCTGGTTAAGCTTTTGGGCTTTTGAGTAGCAGTTCAGCTGAGATCCATTTGGATGAGGACTCAGGTTTTTAGTCTGAGGAAACAGGATCAGCTGAGGAATTGGAGAGGTGAGAATGCTGTGGCTTGTTCTGCTTCTCTGATCTTCCAGCATTCACCACAATAGCTGGCTTCAGTTTTGATTTTATTAATAAGACCTTTTAAGATTTGTGTTACACTGCCACCTCAACTTGAACTTCCCTAGCTAGACTGTTTCTGTTTATTTTATGAATTTTGGAAGGCAATATTGATAATGACTTACTGCTGTTATTGACATCTGTTATCATGAAGGTAAATTACATGTTTTCTGATGCTAGGATTGCAGGGTCTTTCTTACATTTCTTAGATAAGCCTAATTACCTATGTCCCATATGAATACATTTATGTATGTATGTGCATATATATATATATATGTGTGTGTGTGTGTGTGTGTGTGTGTGTATACATGAATATATGTATGTTTCCATGTGTATTTGTATGTGCACACATATATCTGATTTGCTGATACTATATACATTTCTTTAATATAATTTAAGCTGTGTTCTCAGTTGATCTCTGAAATTCAATTTTTAGAATACTACTGATTCAGCCTTACCACCTAGATTATCATAATAATTATAACCTCAAACTGAATTGGGAAGCTTTCCCTTTTTGTCTGAAATAACTTATGAAATGTTTACATTGTATATGCCTTATGGATTTGGCCAAAATACACATAAACCTAATCTTCTCATTGCTCTAGCATGCCATATGTTGGAGTTCATTATACAATTAGTTTATGTGCTTTTAATAGCAAAATAGTGCAACTAAATAAGCTTTAAAACGTTTCTTAATAGATAGAGTTCTACATGTTGAAGGGCAGTGACTTGGTTATTACTGGAGACTTTAAAGGGTAAAAGGACTGACATAGGAAAGGGAATAAAGAAATTTAAAATGATGAGATTTTGCAAAAATCAGAGCCCTGGTCTTCAGGAGAGGATGGAGAACACTGAGAAGTTGTGGTTTGTGCATGCAGGGGTTGAGTTCCAGAGCTTGGTCTGTGCAGAAGTTCCCACAAGGGCCTTAATGGATTCAGTAAGAAGTAAGGGTATATGATACACAAAGTTGAAGCAGACTAACATTGATCAGGAATGCAATAGACAATCAAAATGAAGAAATTACACAGTTAGGTTGGTTTTTGAGTGAGTGTTGCTCCTGTAAAAGTACAGTTTTGTTGTTTTGTTTTGTGGGGGCGGGGGGGGGGGGGAGTGGAAGGCACATTTGCATTTTAATTAATGAAATGGAAGAACACTGACCACTCTACTGTTAACTCATTTTCTTTTTCTGACTTGGCTTCTTTTTACTTCATGGGAATGTTTTCAGAAACACCATTGTTTTGTTATTGTTGCTATTCTTCAGAGCAGAAGCCCAAGTCTGAAGTGCTTCTTTTCATCTGGCTCCTACTCTCTCCACTGTCCCACTTTGAACTGATGAATGGATGCTGAACAAGCTAGCTGATTATTTTCTGATATTTGTAATAATGTTTTCTGCTCTCACTTGGTTTGCATTTCTCCACCAACAAGCAAGGTCAGCCTTGGCTCTGTTAATTTTTTCCCCTCTTGTATTTAGAAGAGAGCTTGAGTTTTTGCCTCTGGAGCTTGCAAGTTATGGTGAGTGAAGTGAGATGCACTCCTTCCCAGCCTAGGAGTCTAGATCAGGGCTCTTTGTTTGTGGGTTTCTCCTCTAAATGGTGATGCTTTTGAATTTAAGCATCATGTCAGCTCTTCTGGTCTTAGTGATATGTGAAGATGTCTCTGCAGTCCACCTGTCCATTTTAGTGGGTGACATTCTTTCGGTTGCAGTTGAATCCATGACCTTTCAGTAAATCAGCTCATGCCCTCTGACCCTTGACTCCTTGGTTTAACCTGAAAATGTTTTGTTTCCTTTAATTTCTCCTCCTTGGTCTCACCTCTAATCACCAGTCTGACAAAGATCCTCCCATAGCTAGAGTTTTCCTGCCTGGCCCACAGTCAGGACAAATCTCTGTCATCCGCCAGTCCCACAGCCGCTCAGACCCAACCAAGTAAACACAGAGAATTATATTGCTTACAAACTGTATGGCTGTGGCAGGCTTCTTGCTAACTGTTCTTATATCTTAAATTAGTCCGTTTCTATAAATCTATACCTTGCCACGTGGCTCGTGGCTTACCGGCATCTTCACATGCGGCTTGTCATGGCGGTGGCTGGCAGTGTCTCCTTCTCTGCCTTCCTGTTCTCTCAATTCTCCTCTCTGTTAGTCCCGCCTATACTTCCTTCCTGGCCACTGGCCAATCAGTGTTTTATTTATTGACCAATCAGAGCAACAGATTTGACATACAGACCATCCCACAGCACCCTCCCAGAACCTCTTGCATTTCTCTTTTTATGGTAACTACCTAAATTCTATGATATTTAGTGTTTTTCATATCTGGTATTCTTACTCTTTCTCTACACTTTCCACAGCATCCTCTCTGTCAGTGGCCCATTCCTATTTCCAGGATCTTTGATTCGGTAAATTAAGTGCTCTCTTGAAAACTTATAGATGCTTTCTTGTTACATCTGCTATGAAGCCCAGATGTCATAGACTGTACCTGAATTTCCCTATGGTTGACATGTTAAGTATACCTCTCGATTTCCAGTCCAGCATCTCTTAAGTTGCTATTACTTTTTCTTTTCTTCATTCTTCATCCTTACTCCTGCCTTATTAATTCACCAACTCTTGAATGGACTCACTCATTCCTAACCTTTAACTTCACACATTACTCAATGGCCACCACATCCAAGGCACTGCTTCTGTGCTGTAGACACCAGAACTTTGGTTTTAATCTCCCATTACCCAGAAGTACTGTCATAGTAAGGATGGTTATATGAGATACAGAGAGAGGAAACCATGGTCCTCATGTTAGAATAAAGATGGTTAGATGATGGGCTGGAGAGGTGGCTCAGTGGTTAATAGCACTGACTGCTCTTCCAGAAGACCCAGGTTCAATTCCCAGCACTCACATGGCAGCTCACAACTATCTCCAGTTCCAGGGAACCGTTACAGACCCCTCACACAGACATACATGCAGGCAAAACACCAATGCACATGAAATAAAACTAAATTAAATAATTAAAACAAGACAAAAGCAAAGATTTTTTTAAAATGTGATTTCCATGCGAGGTTGGTACAGAGGGTCACTGTGGTCTGCATGGTATTCCCTTTCCTGCTCCTCTAGGACAGCTGCCCCGTTATTCTGGATGACTCTTCCCTCCCATTATTCCCACCAGCCTCTCCTCTCTGTTGCTGTATAATTCCTAGAGCCCTACAGATATTTATAAATTATATTTACGTTTATAGAGACATTAGTGTTATTGCCCTAATGACATCATAATTTCTTAGAAGGATCATTTACTAATAATATATTACAACACTGATGTCTTGTATATACATAGTTACAAATGAGTAGTTTTAATTGATTTATGGTAAACATGCAAACAAAAGTGTGTAAAACGCCAAGAAGAAATTGGGGTAGCATATATGTTAAAATTTCGAAAACAAGTCTGTGTATAAGCTTAGACCTGCTTTTCTTTAAGAGGAAAATAACTTTCAATCAATTTCAATTCCCCAGTAACTGATAGTGAAGATATTTTGCTATCCACACATGAAGCGACCTCTGCGGTACATGTTATATGGGAAGAGTTTCCTATACTAGATCTGTTTTCATCTTTAGTGTCTGTTCAAAGAAACTATTGTCCTTCGTTAAACCAGTGACAGCATTGGTTTGACAGTTAGCATGTGCCCATTTAGTCAGTATGATATTATTCAAACACCAAATCAAAGAAAGAGAACAGCCGATTATATGGTTGGTTGCCAAGGAAGAAGAGAAGGTACCCTGAAACTGGCCAGCAATGCACCGTGTCTTTCTTCAGTGCCAGGAAAGAGGCATGGCTCAGAAGCAGCGTTCCATCCCTCTTCACACACTGTCATCTCATCACCATCAGACTCTGATAAGTTAACTTCTAAGAAGTTAACAGTGCTTGTAAAAATTTAAAAAAAAAAGGAGAAGAAAAAGGAGGAGAGACTCTGGACCCTCAGAGTGGCTGTTTCCTAATTTCCCTTAGAAAAAAATGCAATTGAGCATTGCAATTGAGTAGCTGCAAATTTCTCATCCATAAAGGGCCAAATGTGTTTAATAAGTCTAATTACAGGGCCAAAATAGAAATCTAATTGGCCCGGGATGGAAACATGCATTTGAAAGAGGCAGAAGTGCCCATGCTTTGTCCTTGCTTCTAAGCCTGGTGGAGTTGGGCAGTATGCAGGCCTCAGCCCTGGAGTCTGACGGGAGATGGTCGTTATCATCCCCTGTTCCTCTGATGGGTCATGTGAAGTGTGAATGCTCATCTGCAGCCAGCAGGAAAACGCACATTTGGCTTGTAAATCACAGCCAAGCTCTGAGGTCTGCATTTCTCTTTATTGAGTGGCCACCTTCTGCGTTTTACAGGTTAATGTATGGATTCTGCGATCTCCTAATTAAAAAAAGCCTCCAGTGGTACCCAATGATTGCACCAGGGAAGCTCTGAGTCCTTGCTGCTCCGCTTGCTACCTGATGTGTCCCCTCCGTCATCCTGGAAGAAGATCATTTGTGTTTTTACCTTTTTCATTTTTTTTTTCATATTTAGAAATTGGCCCCTGGTTACGGGAGTTCAGAGCGGAGAATGCTGTGGATTTCTCAAGGTTAACCTTTGACCCAGGACAGAAAGAACTTGTCGTAGGAACAAGGTAAGAGATGCTGGGTTTTGCCTCCACAGATACTTTCTGATTTCATTGTATATCTGTGCAATGATACCCGGGTTTCTGGGCTGAAATCATTGTGTACTGAATAATGTAATTTTATCTAAGAAGTGTTATATGCATGACATGTGGTAAATCCTCAGAAAGGGAGGGGGTGAGCTCCTGACTCCAAGTGTGGATCAGCCCCTCCCTGCTGCAGCAAGTCTTCAGATCTGAATTCATGAAACTGTTCAGACCACAATCCCAGAGGAGGGTTCTTTCTGGCTTCTGTTCTTACTTTAGAGAAGAGAAAAGTGAAGCAAAAAATAAATCAACTTGTCCACAAGCATTCACCCTGTGAAACATGGGCCCCAGTTTCAAACCTAGGAACTTTGACCCAAGAAAACATGTTCTTGACTTGTGTGTGTTTTTCAGTAGAGTTCAAGAGACCATACACCTCCATGTGCTTGTGCTTCTAAACACCCACCATCCCCCTTTTATTCTTTTCTTCTTTCTTTTTTTTTTTAGTGTCCCTGAATAGCCCAATGCCAGGAAGTTGGGAATTCAAAGGAAATATCACAATGTCTCCTGGGGGTGATGAGATTCCTGGTGTTGTCAGCACCTGTGTGTATTTGGGCACAGGGGCCCAACTCTCAGATTTAGAGTTTTCTCCATCATTTTGACTGATATTTCCTCTGAAAATGTGTGTAATTCCTACATTCAGGAACATGCCATACATAAATATGGATTCTTCTGGAACCCAAGGAAGGCATCTTGAGCATTTTTTATATCAGACATATTTGTACGTTGTAAGAAGTATATTTTGTAGATTGAAAATTTGAAAATCCCCATATAGACCAGAGTGAAGCTCAATTTAAATTGTGTTCTGGATCTTCCAGATAAAAGGAATATCTCTGAGAATTATCACCTTTAGAGCCTACGTCAGAGCATTTGGGAAGGACATAAGGGGTCACCGAGTCAACTCTACACTACAGCTCACCTGTGGCTTCCTAGAAGCTCTAATGCATGCCTTCAATGCACAGGTTGTGTGATATGCAACTGTTACTGTAGGTGAATGGAGAGAAGGTAGCCTGGGTCAGTGTTGGGTGGGTGCTGCATGGGACAGTTGTGAGGAGGCTGTGGGTGTGAGCCAGACAGATTCTTGGTGTCTTTTTTTCTTACTTTCTACAGTTGATGGGACAAGGGGGTTTCCAGGGTTGATCTCATCACATTCCATCACTCAGAGTGTGGGCTATACATTGCAAAGGTTTTAAACTGGTCTCCTGGTCTCTAGATTTTTCTTCTCCTTTTGTAACCATAGCTAACATCCTCTTTTATGTAATGTCTGCATTTGTGAGCACCATTGGACACGAATTGGTTCTCTGGTGTGACTGGCAGTACTCTGCTTTGTGTCTCCTGTCTCATAATTTCCCACATGGTCTAGGCCTACGGAATTATTAGGTTTCCCATAGCTATAAAGTATACTTTCTTTCTTCCAGGATCAGGTTTACTTTTTTTCTTTAATATTGGCTAATTCCTCAATCAACCCATGCCATTTTTTTTCTTCTTGGCTACATCCTTCTCACAGAGAAGGACCTGACTCAATGTCCTCTACTAGTCATGAACATTACCTGCTTTGCCCTGTTCCATTAATACTCAAGGGTCCACTGTTCTGACTACACTATTGAGGTTATTGTATTATTTCTTCACAAGGGCCATCTTTTTCTTAGGTATCAGAGTATGGGTCAAGCCTTTTTGTTTGCTTTTTTGTTTTATTAAAATGTAGCATAATGTCTTCCTCCTTGTAGAACCCCAAAGATATCAGACCATGCAACAAGCTTGATCTCAGATTTTATTTGTCCCTTTATACATCTGTAGGAAATTTCAGGAAAACAGGGTTAGAATGACCTCTAGATAGTTACATTTGGAATGAGCATAAGAAGGCGAGAGGCTGTAAGCCTCAAGGCTTGCATTTGACTGTGATCTAACAGGAACAGGCCCTTTTCTCAAAAGCAGGTACAAATATGATCCCAGCCAGCGTTGATCCTGCATCCCCCACTCTTCTTTCAAATCTTTTAAAAAGGCTTTCCATTAGCTTGGCTCAAGAGTCTCCACCATCTCTGGAGGACTGAAAACTTCAGCATTTGGTCAAGATACCAGCTTCTCTTAACAGATGTGAGAAGACACAGGGTAAACTGAAGATTGTGACAGGCTGTCTCCTGTGCCTGCTCTGAGTGCAGTAGCAGCTAGATGTGGTTCTCAATGGAACATTGTCCCTAGGTGTCCCTATTTGAGCTGCTCTGCTGATCTTCATAGCATTGCTTCCCAAGCCCAGTTCCACTGGAAGAGAATGGACCAGAGCCTGAGTCACCATGGTGGCCAGTGTAAGGTGAACACAGACAAAAATGCAGTATGCTCAGTGACGCCTGAATTTCAGATAAGCAAAACATATTATTTTATAGTAAGTATGCTTTGAGAGCCTGGAGACCCTAGGGACCCAGGCTGTATCTTATACTCTAGAACAGTGTTTAATACATTGTGGGTACTTAATAAATGAAGAAGGAAGGAATGGGCTGGGCTTCCCAAGCTCCATGATCAAGAGCCTGTTTCTGGGTGTAATTTCCTTATCTTTAAAGTTGGTATGATAGTTTTCACCCCTTCCAGCTGTTGTGAAGATTAATGAAATAGTCCATGACAAACTGTTGCCACATTAACAGGTTCCCAGCAAGCCCACAGTGTGACGAAGCCCTGCACTTTCCAGATGAGTCCATGTTCATGCACATACACATTTCAGGCAGATAACCCTGAAGGAGGAGGACAGGAATTCCATCTAGGAAATTTGGTGGGATTAGGCTCAGCACATTTGGGAGGGAGTCTGACCACTTATGAAATTTTAAAAATAGCCTAGCCCTTGGGTTCTTTTTGGGAAGGCATGACCTAGCAAGACAAGTTTGGATAGCATGTGTGTTTTTTTCAGAAACCAGTAATGGTTTAAAAATATGAACTGTGGAAAAATAGAACAGGCCTATTTATTTTGTTCATAGTTAGCCCTAGATATTGTGAAACCATTTCTGGGCCAGTTTCCCTTTATATCAGTGATGTTTTATGTCCCCAAGTGTGAAGTCAGTTAAAGATCCTTAGCACTCTTTGATAAGGAGAGCTTATTGTGCAGCAGAAGAAAAATACCTCTTCAGGCAATTTGTGCTTATGGGGCACCAGAAGGGATTTGAATTGGAATCCATGCAATTTCTAGAAAGGTTCACTCATTTACCATTTCCAAGGTATGTGGTGACTTTCATATGAATTTAAATGTATTGGCGTTCAAATCCTTCTTTGCGCCTGCTTCTTGAAAATTTAATAATGTTCACGTTTGCAACCATTACACTCGGCCATCTTCCTTCTAAGGGAATGTGGAAAACTCAGTAAGTCACAAGGAAATCAGCACTTCCAAAGACAGCCACAATTCACCCTTCACTTATTTGCTTGTGGTATTTGACTCCCATGTGTTTCCATTCTTAGGATAATATGTGTCGGGCGGCGGTATACTGCTTGCCACAAAACCTACTGAAATCAATTTCATGGAATGAAAGAAGAAAAGAAAGTCAAGGCAAAAGAATATGCAACTGCTCAGGGTTTTTTTGTGGATAGTTGTGAAAGGAATGACAGTCATAATACTTGACAAGCTACAAGCCTCAGTTTGCTGTGCATAGAATTGTAGCAACAGATGTGAGAGAGGGAGATAACATTTTTATTTTGCAAATGAGTTCTTGTGCCTCAGACTCTATCTAATGGGTGGCAAATGATGGTCCCGAATCACAGGGATAGGTGCCATGTATTAGATTTGAATGATGATTGCAAATGATAGGTGACGTGATGCACGCAGCGTGATGTGTGGTACCAGTTATTTGCAAGTTAGCCGCATTTAATAATGCAAAATGCCGGGCACTTGTCATGAAGGAGTGCATCATTACAGCACCTGCAGTGTCTTTGCCATAGGGCAACGGAGAAGAAATTGAGGTTTCCTTTGTGGCTATTTGGACATTTGTCTTCAAAGTGGCTTTCTAAATGAAAGCACAGTTCAATATTTATCTTGTTTTTCAAATGTTTTTCCTTTAAATTCTTTGTTTCTTATGCTGTCAATTATTCACTTTCCATGTTTACTTTCTGACACTCTTATTCTTTGTCTACAGTTTTCTATGTGATGGGCCTATTTGCAACCTGTGATGTTTTAGTCAAAAAGGACCCTGTTAGTCTTCACAAACTAACCCACAGCCTAGATGACTCAGCCATCTGTATATATAAGGTGGTGAGATTGGGACCCAAAAACCTTATATGTGGATCAGATAATGATCATGAATTAATAATCAAATTTAATGATTTATTTTTATGGAAATTTTATTTTAATTTTATCAGAAATCTATCACAATATGGTAACATTATGACTATACCAAGCAGACGGATGCTGGGTATGTGTAAGTCTCCTTATACACATGATCAAATGTGAGGACCAGCCCTACAGATCTGACCTCAGTATAGATCCACCTATGGCTGTGCACATGGACTGGTGTCAGGACCCCTTTATGGGTGCATATTTTGCACACTGGATTGATCATTCCAGCTCCTGCGTCACCATTCTAATTAGTAAACATTTTTCTATATAGCAGATGATATGTCTTTGTATTCCTGCACAGAAAATGGTATAGATTACAATCAGCCTGGCTTTTTGTTTTGTATGCTTTTATAGGAAAACTAAATAGTTATTAGATCAAGTGCTTTCAACACAGGGCTCAGTTTCATCAGAAATCACAGTGAGTGAAGTTGTTGAATAATTTCAGTGTATTTTTTAACCATTTGTTTTTCCTCATGTTTAACTCTCTAAACCTGAAAATTAAAACAAGGAATGAGTCACGCACTTTACTTCTGGTTGAATTTACTTCATGTATTCAGAACTGCTAAAAATCTTAAATGCATTGAAATTCTGGGTTTGTATGGGATATTCATAGTTCTAT